GGAACGCGTGTCCTCGCGGCTCACCGCTGGCTGCGAGGTCAGCCGAGTGTCCACGGGGTGCGGGACCTGGGCCTGGATCCACCCGGACGCCGGGGACGCTGGGGAAGACCGCTTAGGGACGCAAGGAGCCTCGCCGGCCTGGAGCTGGCTGCCCGAGTCGCGCCAGCTCTCCCGCTCTCTGGAGCGCTCCTCTCCCTTCGCCCCGCCCCCAGGCCCTCCCCCGAGCACCTCCTACTGGCTGCCCTCGGGAGCCAACAGGAACACCACAGTGCCGGCACGCCCATCCAGCCCCGCCCTCAGGCCCGCCCCCCCTCGGCCCACACTTCCCTCTCCGGAGGAGGAGCCCAGCTCTCAGGCACCGCCCACCAGCCCCGTGGCAGCCAATCGCCTTACGGGGACGTCGCAGGTGGAAGACAGACCTGAATCCAAGTAGGCCAGGTCCAGGGCCCGCGGGAAAACTCCAGTCCTGGAGCTAGGCACGCCTCATCCAGTCAAAGGGGGAGCTCCCCAAAGGCAATCTCTGGCTCCCTGTTTCTCGCGTGCGTCTCAGCATGTCTTTTGCACAAGCATCACAAGCAACCAGCTTCAGTGTGCCAAACACACACCGATGGGTGGTTGTGGGGACAGATGGATGGTTCCTTTGACGGCTGAGTGGGCTCTTGGATGGCTGGATGAAGGAGAAGATAGGCCGATAGGACCTGAGTCAGCAGGGGCCAAGATTTCCCCACTTTGGTCTCAAGGTTTCGGCCAAAGGAGTTGAGGCACGCTCCGGCCTGTTCTCCCACAGTGCACCTGGGCAGGCCTCGCACTCTCTTTGGAAGACCGCACCAGTTGCTCCTCATTGGCCCTGCCACCATCGGGATCCAAGAAATCTCGGACTAAGCTCTCCTCCCACACTGACTCTCTCTGTCTCTCTCTGTCTCTCTCTGTCTCTCTCTGTCTCTCTCTCTCTGTCTCTCTCTCTCTCTCTCTGTCTCTCTCCCTCTGTTTCTCTCGCTCCCTTTCTGTCTGTGGGGCCCTCGGTCTGTCTGTCTGTCCGTCTTTCAGACTTTCGTTTCTTTGCTTTCTTACCCGGCACCGAGTTCGGGTCCTAGCTCCTGCACACAGGTGGCGGAACCACTGAGCTATTGACTTCATCCGTTTAGGGCGTGTGTGCAAAGACCTTTGAAATGAGCTCGATCTCTGTGGGCGTTTTGTGCCCTGCTTTCGTTTCGGGGGGCCAGCTTCTCACTGTTGGGGCTGGGCTCCACCTGCACTCCTCCCGCCCCAGCCGGCCAGAGCCAGAGCCGGGGCACGGACGAAAGGCGTGAGAGAGTCTCCAGGTGCAGCCTAGGGAACTTTCCTCCATCCACTCACCTCCACTTCTCTCCCCAGAGTATTGAGGGAACTAACTGTTTCAGGCCTTGGTTTTCAGGATAGAGGGCAAATCACGGGGGTTCCACTGTATGACAAGAAATTGCCCCCTCAGAGCAACCCTGGGGCCTTCGGTGACCTGGGGGTGGGGACGTGCTTGCCGTTCTCACGTGGAGAGGGAGGGTGGTGAGTTAAGCCCCCCTCCCATTGGCCAAAACCAAGTTGCACGGAATGATTGGGAAGGAGGTGATAGAGAAAAGCCAAACACACCTCCCCGCAGTCCACACCCACCAGGGCGCTCCGGAAGCGGTGTAGCTATGTAGCTTCTGGGAGCCCCGTCGCCTTAGGGCTGTGTGCCGAGGAAGGAGCACGCACGGATGCACACACGTGAAGGCATGGGCCGTGGGGACCTTTCTCTGCCCTACACCTGGCCCTGTCACCAGGATTTCAGCCTGGATCAGGCGTGGCACCTGCTTCACAGCATGCTTTCCAGCGCTTTGGGTGGAGGCCAGCTGTCCCCAGCCCCACCCCCAGCCCCACCCATACCGCCATACCCATCCCGGCTGTTCTCATTGGGCTTCTACGGGTGTGTGTGTGTGTGTGTGTGTGTGTGCGTGTGTGTGTGTGTGTCTGGGTGTGCGCGAGCGGGTGTGTGGCGTAGTTCCTGTGTCCAGTCCCGGGGTCAGTCGGGTCTGGAAATTTATCGCCGGGAGAGCATTTTCTTGTAATCTCGCATGGTCTTGGCCATCAGTGGGGCCAGTTTCTTAGCTGTGGGCTTGCGGTTGTGGAGGGCGGACAGCAGGGGAGCCCTGGCGGGACTGGGGCCAGCACCAGCTGGTGACTGCCTGGCAGGAGACACGCAGCGTCCCCTGCTGCCACCTCCACTGCCGGAGGGGCCAATGGCCATCCCTGTGGGGTGCTCTGATCCTCTGAGGCTGGGATCAGTTGAGACTGCTGCTGCTGTGGCCGCTGCTGCGACTCCTCCTGCTCCGCTGACAGCAGGGGAGCCCTGGCGGGACTGGGGCCAGCACCAGCTGGTGACTGCCTGGCAGGAGACACGCAGCGTCCCCTGCTGCCACCTCCACTGCCGGAGGGGCCAATGGCCATCCCTGTGGGGTGCTCTGATCCTCTGAGGCTGGGATCAGTTGAGACTGCTGCTGCTGTGGCCGCTGCTGCGACTCCTCCTGCTCCGCCTCTTCCTTCTCCTGCTCTTTGGCCTTCTCCTCTTCCTCGCGCGCTTCCTTCTGCTCCTGGGCTCTCTTGTCCCCCGCCGCCTCTCCCTTGCCCTCCTGCTCTCCCATGTCCTGTTCCTTCTCCTGTTCTTGTTCTGCTTCCTCCCCTTCCTCTTCCTCATGTCTCTCCTCCTCCTCCTCCTCCTGCTCTTTGTTTCCCCGTTCTCTGTCTTTCTCCTCTCCCTCCTTCTCTTTCTGTTTCTGGTCCTCCTCCTCCTCCATTACCTTGTCTTGCTCCTATTCCTCCTCCTGCTCCTCCTCCTCCTGCTCCTCCTCCTCCTCCTGCTCCTCCTCCTCCTCGCCCTCCTGTTCCCTTTTCTGCTGTCTGTCTCTCTCCTCTTCCTCCTTCTCTTTGTTTTTCTGGTCCTCCTTCTTCTCCTCCTCTTCCTCGCCCTCCACTGCCCCCTGATCCTCCATGCGCAATGTTCCCCTCCTGCCGGCTGGAGGACCCAGGGCTCAAAGCGATCAGCTTGGTCTGCCTGGCGGGAGACTCATTGGCCCTTGCACCGCGAATCCTGTTCTTCAGGACTTGGAGTCACTGAGCGTGGTCCTCCTCCAGCCGCAAGTACATCTCCCGCCAGGACTCATGCTTCTCGTGCCTGTGTCCCTTGAACTCTCTTGTATTGGGAGCCAGTCATCCAAAACAGTAAGCTAAGTATCTGGTCCTGTAAAGCTTTTCAGTAGCATAAGTTTCCAGTTGTTCTTTCTATTATTTCCTAGGCAATTGATGTTTTATTTATGAAGTGTTGACCTTCATCTATATCCTCAAAATTCTACTGATTCTCTCTTTCAGAAGATATAAATTTACTGTTTTAATATTTAGATCTTTGATCCTTTTTTATTTATTTTAGTGTGTGGTCTGAGGTATTGGTTTTGTTTTAGTCTTTGCTATGTACAATGCCTATGTTTTCTAAAGCCCATTATTAAAGTCACGTTCTTTTTTGCAGTGGATGTATTTTACTTCTTTGTCAAGGATTAGTTAGTGTAGCACCAAACAACGTATTTGAAATATTGAAATGGCATATTTTTTTATCTCTGTGTTTTACCTGTATAAAGTACATAAAAATCTGATAGATTGTTTTAACATAAATAAATGAACAAAGTAACCTCCACACCTAAGATTACTCCTGTATAGAGGGAAGGTCCAAAATCTTTGTGGACCTTCACTTTCTATCATTACTTTTTCTTTAGTTTTAGTGTGCTCTAAGGAATTATGGTAACTGAGAAATGTTGGCAATTCGGCGCATTTTGCATTGAGGCTTTGAAAGCTTGTGATAGGAAATCGTCATCCTCACCCTCCATACCTTTAGTTGAATACCTGTTGTGTCTCCTTCCATGTCTATCTTTATCAGGAAACTCCTGTCTGACCCTGTGTACATTTCAATCCCAAGGACAGATCTTCAGCTTTCACTGGGGCTTATTCAGAGGAAGGGCACTAGATTCAATCTTTGTTCATGACCCAGCAGATTGACAGAGTAAACTGGTAGCACTGATGTAGAGGAGGAAGGACTAATGAAAGAATTGATTCATCATCATGAGGAGAAGCATGAATCTTCCTCTACTTAGATGAGAGGACATCAATGTACCAAGGTTCAGACATAAGTTCTGTGAACTTTGTGTATTAGATTATAACGAGTCTCCCAAGTATCTAATACACAGTTTTGACTTTCCCTCACATTAGTCCTACTTCTCCTTGACATAGAATCCACAACAGAGTAAAATGGGTGCCTGCAACTTGTTTCCTCAGCCTGCCAAAATGATTGTGCTGATGAAAATGACAATGAAGTAAATGACAAGTATCAGATCTAATATGGAAGGGCTTCCAAATGCAAGCAATAATTTCTTCATATTCTTTGCTTAACATTTTTCATTATGAATTTCCATAATATTACTACTCTATGTAAAAGAAGAGACATCACCTTTTAGTCTAAAACGCAACAACCTGCTGAGTTGGAAACAGCTAAGAGGTGTTGTTACACAGAGCATTCTAATAAACCCAAGAAATCTTGCCAGGCAAATGCTGGCGCATATTTCCTTTGACAACTCAATAACTCATTTGTCTTCTTGTCTCTCTAGGAAGGTACTCCTTTCAGATCATACTCTACCTGTGGGAGTTGCAAGTGTATCACAGGTGAGGGGCATGTTGACATCTCTTGTACCTACTGCAGGAAGGGTGTCAAAGGCACAAACCACAGAAAGCATTGACAAAAAATTATCAGCGCAGCTCTCCTTTGTACCCCTGCCCCAGGTAATCATTACGGACTACTTTTAACCATACTTCTCGATTTGAAAAACATAAATGTGCAATAGGAAGAAAAGGTGTAAAGGTGTAGGAGAAAGTGGCAGGGGTAGGAGAAAGGTAAGAAGGGAAAAGAAAAAACAAGAGAAAAGAAAAAAATTGAAACAAAGTCTTTGTAAATAGGGAAGGGTGGAGAGGGGGTGAAGATAGACTAGGGGAATGGGGAAAAATAAGAATTAAAATAAGTCATGTAGAAGTACAAGATCCCAATAATGAATGTAACTGCATTGTATTCCTAATATGTACTAATACAATATATTAAAAAACATAAATCAATTTAGAATGTGTTTCATTCCTTTTCATAAAGGTGGAAAGAGTTTAATATTCCCCAGATATAACTGTGGTTTCATTCATTGTATCTCTATTGAAAACTTTCTGATGGATGTATCAGGGCCAGAGCCTGTCGATTCAATATGTGTGTAATCATTGTGAGCACATATTAATAGTGCAAAGTTAGTGTCATTGAGGCATTTCCATACATGCTGTTATGGTTTGTATCTAGATGCCCACCCCAAAAGCTTCATGTGGTTGTAGGCTATGTTGGAAATAGCTGATTCTAGAACGTGTGATTGGTTTATGCCTGTGATAGGCCCAAGGGCACTAGGTTTAAGGATGTAAGTGCTACCCACCCTAAGTAGTCTGAGTAAGATAAAGGGGGGAAGAAAGACACTGTTGAGGCTATTGTTACTTTGCTATCTTCTGGCTGCCATGAACTATTTCTCCTCTTGAAGGCCAGTCAGCCACAATACCCTGCTAGGAGCTGGGTGATTATGGTTGAAATCTACTACAAACTGTAAGCCAAATAAAGCTTTCAGTCTTTAACTTTGGTCGTTGGGTATTTTGTCGCATCAATGAGATAAAAGTAACTAACATGTATGCTTATAGTCATACTGTTCTTTGTTCATATTCATTTTCCTTCTTAGTCTACCAATTTAATTTTGAATTGTATCTCCATAACTTTTATTTCTGAGACACAGGGCCAGTGGTTATTATGTCTGAAACTCATCATCGCCATCTGAGTTGATTTTATGCAATAGAGCTTCATCAAGGAAGGATTAATAATGGTTGTCTCTCATTTTTTAAGAGGTAATCATTGTATAATATAAGGGCAAAATAAAATTTGGATGCTCTTATTAGCATTAATGCTAGGATTAATACTATTCCAATGAAATATCCTGGAATCCTACATTGGCATTTTCCTTTTTCTCTGAGCAGGTATGTTGGTTTGTTTTAGTGCATATAAATATATATGGATAGAATTAACTAACATCCTTTCATTTATATTTTCCTGGATTATATTCCGATCCTAGAACGGAAGAATGTTAAAATTAAAATCTCTGCTAAGCACTGATTGCATTCTTGTTTGTGTCACACAATTGGGCATAATCACTGTGACTTCAATGCATTTGTTTTCCAGTCGACACTTTCATCTTGTTCAGAAAGCTCCCATAAAACTAGAAACAAGCTAAAATACTTCTTGTCTGTGTCTAATCTAATCATACATATTTGAGGCTTGTCATTCCATGTGGCAACATCTATGACTGACTTCTCATAGAACACAGCACTGATTATCATGGATATAAAACAGAAAAAGATGCATAAAAAGATTGGGATAGATGAACTTTCAAATCAGCCTGAAGCACGTTCTCTCATTCCATGGGTATTTATCACTAAACTTTTTATTTCTACAAAAATGGTGTCTTTGGAAAAAAAAAAGCTTACAGAGACTAAGTATTTTAGTTGCAAAGTTACTTCATATGCACACTCACTGTGGATATGGATGCTATTCTCTTTATTTCTATCACACAGTAAGTGGGGAATAATTTGCACTCTGTAATGTGGCATTAAAAAATTTAGTTTCTTACTTATGTCCCATGATACTGTCTTCAATTCTGGGCCAGTTGGAAATATTATTTCCAGGACAAGTTGAAATTTGTTGGTCAGTAATCATGGAAGTATTATGTAAGACATACCTCAGTGACATTTTTAAGTGTATCTTAAATGTAAAATGATGTAATAAATAAGAATTGATTTTTCAATTAGGGAAAATGAGGTTAATTATAAAACTATTCACACACATCAATTGTTGAAATTCTCCACCAATATATTGTCCAGCATTCTCACTTGCATTACCTGTAGATGGGCACAAGAATTT